GAGACTAGAACAGTTGTTCCTGAAGTACACTGAAATTGCTGAAATGAAAATAGAATTGGGAAAATTTACTTCTTTATTCTATAGTGTTTACACTCTGAGCAAACAAGCTTACCAGTTCAAACTTTTTTAAAGAAAACAAGTTATACAAGCTGCTTTGTTGCTTCTAATAAATTTCAGCAACATGAAAAAAGTAGAAGAAAATGGTGGTGGTAATCCTACAGCTGGCAATCCTACAATTGGCAATATGCCTATTATATTTAGTCTTCTGTTACAGCGGTCAGAGAGCATTGTCCAATTTCAAAGGAAATTATGTAGAAGAATCCAAAACTAGTCATTATACAGCTGGCCCCAGACTTGTCCATAAGATTTTAGTAGGAAGACACCTGTAAATTTGAGAGACAATTTATATAATGTATGTGATGACTTTGGATATATATTTCATCTTTAATGAGGAATATTATATAAAAAGACTGAGTGTGACACACATTGAAGGAAAAAAGTGTAAACACAATATATAAATTAAAAAACAATGCCAACAACTCCATAGAAAAATCCAGAAGGTCTGAGTTCCAGTCCCTCCTGTATCACAAATGTGGTTTGTAGAGCACAATTTTAAACTATGGGTCAGGACTCACTAGTGACTCACTAAGCCAAAACGGAGCAGCATTATTTTAATGAAAAAGAATAAAACATCACACAGCCTATGGGCAAATACTGCTTTAATTATATGTGCATGGGCGGTGCTGGTGGTGTTAATGTATAAGCCAGCTCGGGAAATTAAATGTATTTCCCATAGTCAAAAGAGATTAATAGCCAGTGATCCAGAGTAAATCCCTTAACCTCTGTTCAGGTTGTTTCCCCATTTCTTAAGTGGAAATTATTATTCACTTCAAGAGTAAACTCAAAATAATTTCATAACCTTTTCCCAACTGAAAACACTAAGATGTTATTGCTACAACATTTTGGTTGGTTTCCTGAGAGTTTAATGTTTCCCAGTCATGTATGTTCAGAGCATAGAATCATTACCTTAGAAACATGGACATAATGTAGCAAAGAAAATTTTGAAAACATGGTCTTTTTTTGGCAACAAGTAGAGCCAGAGACAGGAAAACCTAAAGTTTCTTGAAATTTTTATTATCTCTTACAGCACCTACCATATAGCTCCTGGAGGGGGGAGAAAAAAAACTAGAGAGCAAAGGCAGCAAAGGCATCTGTGTTGCTGTGGGGTCCTGTTGAAGAATCTGCAGGCAACTAGGAGAATGACTTAGAAGAATGACCAAAAAAGGGGAATATGTTTATAGGCTATTCCCACAGGGCCAGATCAAGAACATGAGTTACCATCTACTGCCTTCACAGCCCTTCATCCGCACTTGAATTTATAAATCACTCCTCTTTTCTTCCCACTTAAAGTTTAGAATCCTGTGTGAAGCTCTAAATGCCACACTTAAATGCCATAAATTCCAGGCTGTGCATCACTATTTAGCTACACATGTTATATGGCCAGATCAGAACCACAAATAGGAAATATTTTAAGAAACGGATAGCTAAAAAAACTGACAACAGTTAAGAGGAAAGGTATACTCCACAAAACGTTCATACACAGCTACCATTAGTACACATTACTGAAAGCAAAGGCACCCTAAAGATTCTGCATTACAAAAAAGAAAGAAGGTATCTCTTCTGCTAAGATATTGGGGGCTTTTAAAAGGAATGGGATTCCTGCTCACATGAGTTCGAAAACCATTTCAAGAGAAATGGAGGACAGGAGTATTTGTGGGGACTCAGCAATACTACTAATATAATACTTCATTTTTTTAAATGACACTCATGACCTTCAGATCGGTTTATCCTGATTGCTATTTCTTATAGAGTTCATGATCACCCATTACCACCACCACCACACAGAAACTGATCAATCCAGTTCATATTCTCCCTCCAAATTTAAACCGGCTCACAGGTCAAATATCTGGCCAGGGTTCATAGGCACAGCCTACAGCTGAGGAAGACTTGTGGGCTCATCTGGGAACACTATGCATAAATGCCTGCTGAACAAATGAATGCAGAAACAGAATTGCAATGGTCTTAACTTTCTCTGTGACTAATTCCCACCACTTTAAGAGAACGGATGGAGGTGGGGGCAGAACAGATGAGGACTTACAAGAGGCAGATAGTGATCGTGAAGAAATTTGTGAGGGGGTGATCAAGAACTTTAGTCATTGCCCATGGAGTTTCTACTAGAGACAGAGAATCAAATAGATGGAAAAAAGTAAGCAACCATCATCTGGGTTCTTGCATCTTGCCAGGTAGCTTTTAGTTAAACCCATGTGGGAAATACCTTGGTACAGTGTCTCTCTCATTCCAGTCTGTATACATGGAGATGTTTTTCTAACTAAAGACACATAATAATATAAAGACACATAATAATCTAATATAAAACTGATGGTGATAAGAGGTATCATTATGGAAATAAACATTTGTACTGAAACTTCAGTCAGGTATTCCAAGTTGATTTATTTCAAACAATGAGAAAATTGAGTTGCTACTGCACCTGATAACAAGTGAACATATATGCCCATAAAATAACTATTATTTATAAAAAAAAATAAATGAGAAAAGCACATACACTACCTAAGGTTTAAAAAAAAAAAAAAAAAAAAAAAAAAAACAGCTTCCAGTATAGGCAGCTACAAATAGTGCTCTCCATGGTGAGAAATAAAGTCCACACATAAGTATCCTAGCAAAATTTTCATCACACACACACGCCTAACAGATGGATTCTAAAAAACAGCTAAGCTTTCCATAAGCCAAATGCTCAAAAATTAATAATAAAAGATGATAAACATTGCTCTAAATACGGTGTTATATAAAAGAGCACAACACACCCTTCCCTGCTCTCACCTCTCCTCTCACTCAATCTCCTTTTCCCAAATGTATGCTCTCCCTTCTACCTCCCCCTACTCTGCAACCAAATTCTCATCATCCAAAAGCAAAGTGTCTACTGCAGCCCAAAACGCTTGATTGATAATATCTGGTTTGCCACTCCAGTATATCCCAGAGTGGGTTTTATACTGCCCACAGCTTGCAAAGAAAGGCGAGAGATGAACTAATGGATACCAGCCCCCAGCTGTGACCTGGCACATAAAGAAATCAAGAAAATAAATCCTGTCCATAATCTGTATAATTTAACACTGGGAAGAAAGCAACATCTGGGACTGACTCCAAGCAGGACAGCACTGCTGGATGGTTCTGTGCTTTCTGCACCGACTGTTAAACCTGGTGATGACAAGGGACCCTCCCTTTCCTCACCAGTTTCAGCAAGGGCAATGTCTTTTCCCTGCAAGGGTTAATCCACCCCCCAAAAAGGGGAAGTGAGGGGAGAGGGAAAATAACTACCAACATTTACTCCTTGCCAGTAGAGTGCCTGCCAAAGGTTCCCCTTACACTTTGGAGAGAAAGCTGAAACCCCTTCCCAAAGGTGGATCCAGCATAAACTATTGTCTTACCAAACAGTCACAATCCAGATTGAAAGCTAAGGTAAAATACGGGAACGACTTTATTTAATCATACAGTCCTTTCAGTGGACTCCAAAGTCCTACCCCAGGCGAAGTTGAAAAAAAAAAAAATCCCCTGTGACTATGACTCCCCGAAAGGCTTTCCAGATTTTTTTTTTTTAATTACAGGAAAATGAATATACAACAGAACCAGATACCTACACATTGTCTCCATCACTGAATGTGTAACCGATTTAAAAACCAAAAAGTATGTCAATCGGTAGGACAGGGCACGATAGAAAATAAAAACTGTTTGTGAAATCCACAATGCTTTCTCCCTGCTAACGCTTCTGCGAGATTATAATTGCATTTGGCCGCTGCAGGCTTGTCAGAGAGCCTGACTTCTTCATAGTCACAACCCTGAAAAGGAGTAACTGTCAAGGGGCGACCCAGCTGAATTCAAACAACAAAAAAACGGGAACTGTAATCGCCCCGAAATGGGAGGAGGGAAGGAAGGGAGCCTCCTGTATTCATCAGTCAACATTAATGTCCTTTGTTGTTCACCTTTGCACAGAGCAGCGAGCGCTACCCTGCTTCTTCCCCTCAGAACGCCAGTGCCAGGATAGTCCTTTCCTAAAAGCTGTCTCCTCGCCTCGAATGCCCAGGCTGTGCGGTTCCCCAGCCCACGATCACCCCACACCGCCCTCACCACACCACCCCCATGGCGCTCACTCGGGGCGGAGAGGGTGGCCAGAAGTGAAAACATTGCTGAAATGCGCTTTCCCCTCCAAAGACCAAAGAGCCGAGCGGCGCAGACGTCGAAATGTCCCATTCCCGGGCCCCGGCCCCGGCCCGGCTCCACACACACCCCCAAAACAGGGGGTGGGCGGGAGAGGGGGGGAGCCTCGGGCCCGGTTGGGGCGATCAGAAAGGCTCTTTTGAGGACTCTGTCACATTCCGCACTCCCGGAATGTTGACGGGAGCCAGCCAAGGGCCGGTTTGCGCCTCCCTTCCGTTTGGGGGGGTCCGGGGGGTGTGTTTTCCCCCCCGGTTGTTGTCGTGTCCTCCACCTCGGGAAATCGTTGCAGCCCGATGCTGTCGCCCCGCGGCTTTGGGAAAGAAAGCGGACGCCGAGGAACGCCGCTGCTCTCGCCTTCCAACTTGACACACACACACAAACACACACACACCCCAACATCCACCCCACAGGCGCGCACGCAAGCGCGCGGGGTCGCCGCTCCAAACTCCGCAGACCCAGCCCGGCGCGGGCGGGCGGGCAGCAGCGCGACCCCGCAGCCGTCCCGGCGCCCCGCGAGCCCGGCGGCCGCAGCAGGGACCCGGCGCTGAGGGGCGACACCCCGGCGCGCACCCCCCTGTGAAGCCCCGAGCCCGCAGCGCGATGCCAGGAGGAGGCATTTCCAGGCGGGTGGAGCGAGAGGGGCGCCCAGGACGCGAATGCGCACCCGCTCGGGGCAGAGTGGAATAAAAGTTCGCCCCGAGGAGACTCACCCACGCCGTATTTCTCGTGCTCCGTAGGTATCCACATGGCTAAAGGGGGCTCCGGGGGCTCCGGGCTTTGCAATCCCCGCGCCCCTTCTCCGGCTCACAACAATGCACCGCTCGGGAGTAGCGGCTGCAGCGCGCGAGCCCGGCGGCTCCGCACGGGCTGCGGGCGCTGGGCTGGGTCTGCGCTGGAGGCTCCGAGCCCGGCGTTGACACCGCGCGGCCGAGGCTGCGCCGCCCGCCGCTCCCCCGGCGGCGACTGCTCACAGTCCTCCGACGCGCTCCCGGGAAGCCGGCGGCGCAGTCATTGTTCTGATTCACTGAACTAAGCGAACACGCCGGGGCACTCTCCAGCGCTCCCCCGCCCGCCAGCCCTCTGCCAGCCCTCCCTGCCTAGTGGCCCCGCTGCACGCTGGGAGTTGTAGTTCCCGGCCGCTCCATCCAGGAATGGGGCGTGGCCTTAGAGGTGAGGGGCGGGGCTAGATTTCTCTCCGTAGCTCCTATTGGTCTAGAGAGTGACGGTATGGCGTGGGCGTGGAAGAAAAGCCGCGTTGATGGGGAATTCGCCTCCAACAGCATTCTGATTGGCTCTGAGCAGGCGTCGCCCCGCCCCACGGCCCTAGGGTTCCTGCTCTGCGGAGTAATGGCTGCCTCCAAGACCCGGGGGGCTGCTACCCGAGGGGAGGAGGACGGTGATGACGGTCTTGAGGGTACCGGAGGTGTCAGTTATGACGGTGAGTACGGTACCCGTAAGGTGATTTGTCTGCCTTGAACCCCGACCTGGGGTGTAGGTGATCGCCCGGCGGACCCCGGGAGCCTGCCTGCTCTGGGGCACCTGGGCGCGAGGGGCCTCGCGCGGGGCCCAGTGGGACGGGGTGGGGTTGGAGGCGCCCCTGCTTGGTAGGGGCGTTTGGGGAGGGAAGAGAAAACGGGATGGAGTGGTCTTCCCTCACAGCCGGGGAATCTTGGGCATTTATTTGTCTTGAGTTGGGAGCTCCCAGTTGTGCGGTTGCTGCTGTGTGGGTGTGAGTCAAGTCAGTTTCGCGCCTGTGTCTTTGTAACTCGGGAATGAGCGGCTCTTGCTTGTCGTCAGCGCTTTGCTCCAGGAGGTTTGCTTCGTTGGGCCTCGTGAGATAGGTCTTATTTGGGTTCGGGCGAATTTCTAGTTTCAGACCCGGTCACTACTCTTCACTCAGCAGATTTGCTCAGGTGCTGACTGGAGTGGAAAGTCGCTTGTTGATTACCCCGGGCGCTCTCCAGGATTGAAAGTAGCAGGTCTTCCCAGGCTGGCTCCTTAGAGAAAGGAAAAGGAAATGTTCCTTTGCATTCTTGGCTTCAGAGGAAAACTTGAAGAGATTAAGAAAATCATCACTGCCGATGTCACACTGTTTAACTTTCATGTCCTCTGGTCCACTGTAGCGATACCTCAAAGACCAAACTTTGGAAGCTGCAGGGGAATTGTCTTGAGGATTCCTACCCCCCTTCTTTCAGTCTGTTACCTCTGCCTACCCCCTCCGCCCCCTCCCAAACACACACTTTTTTTTTTTTCTTGATGAGTAATTTAGCACAATACGTTATGTTTTTCTGAAGGACGTGGTTTGGAGCTTAAATTTGGTTCTCAATCCTTGGGGATTTTTTGCTTTTCTTTTTCCGTTTTGTGCATTCATGGTTAAATTGACATTCTTTCTTAAGTTTTTGTCTCAGCAACCAGAGATGAAGTGCAATTTCTCCCCAGTTCCTATCAGTGGAACCCCCTAGCACTGAAATTATTTCAACCAAAGTCTCCTGACTTAAATAGTTATATCCACACCCTAAACATTTCTTTTTGGGGTTGGTCTTATAGTGGTTCTTCTCTAATGGTAATAGAACATTAAGGTTTTCTAGATTCTTCAGAGTTCCAGAGGGCTACTTCTTTAACATTCAAAGATGCTCTCTTTGTTGGATTTATCTTAAAGATTAACTCATTCAAAAAGAAAACTGAGTATATGTTTCCAAAGGTTCACAATGTAGAACATTTAAAAATCATTTTTTAAACTTGTAAAAGTTTTCATTATAGACATTTCAAACCATTCAGCTATGTGGATAACAAGTGACAAATCTGCCTCCACACATTCCTACTCCCAAACTAGCAAGTATTAAGGATTTGATGTGTGTTTTTTCAGACATATTCCAGTATGACACACAACCTATGGTTTTGGTTTGTTTGCTTGTTTTTTATAAAAAAGTGTAAACTTAAAGATCTGCAACGGTCTTTCTCCCAATGATCTGTTATAGGCCACTTCCATATTGGTACATTTGTCCTTGATCCTTTTTAAGGACTGTGCCCATTGCATTTAATTCCATAATTGAGGGGCTGGAGCAGGGGTGAGGGGTTGTACTTCACTCTTAATGAACATAGTGTGGCTTTAATTGTTCAGAATTCTTGTTGTGAACAGCTTTGTATACATATCCGTTCCAAATAGGTGTGTATTTCTTGAGGAATTGCTAAGTCAAAAGTTACACACTTTTAAATTTTGATAGATATCCTGTTTTCCTCTTAAAAGGTGCCAGTATATATTCTTACCAATATTATGTGAGTGTTTTTCCCCATATCCTAACCAACCATGAAGAAATCATCAATCCAGGACCAGCGTTTAAACGACTATTGAATTGCATTGAGTAACTGGTAGAAAGCTTAATTTTAGGTTCCAGTTTATTTTCAACAAAAGTACTGAGCAACAGTGAATGTGCAGTATCTGTAACACAAAAGAATTCTTTTCCCTGATCTAGAAATGCCTAGTATTCTCACTTATTTGTACCAGTGAATGAAAGAGTTAATGGTGGGTCTGTATGTTACTCTTAGAAGTTGTCATTATATCCCCTTAGTAACATATGTATCAGTCTGGACATTATCTAGTTCTTTTCAAAGCCTGAAACCTGATACAAATTTCAGTGGATTTAATGATTTTAAAAGTATGTTTGTTTTTTGTTAAGCAGTCACTTAGGTTATCAAATATGTCTTTCCTGTAAAATCACTTATTTCTTCAAAACTACCTCTTTGAAGAGGTGTCCCCCTAACTCTAATTAAATATCAATCTCGTGTTTAATATCCCGGGACAAAAAGGACTTGGAAGTCTTTTTATAGAAATCCTTGCAATTCTACAAGATTGTTGGTAGAATGAGTCGCTGGGTTGTATACTACAGGCAGGTATAGCACCTTCCCTGACACCTGTTTTGCTAAACCTGCTGAGGCTCCATCCCTTTCCAAGAAAGTTCCTGATCTTGTAAGTCACTGATTTCCATACATTTGAACAGTAACTAGGATTTCGTATTTTCCCCTGAAATGAAGAACAGATAGTAAATCAACTCCAGATTTCTCACACTTGGTAACATGTTATTGGTGTTTTTTTCTTTTGCTGTTTTAGTTAGAAGACAGTAAAATAACCTATCTATAGTTCAAAATCGACAAACTTCCAGGAAATTTTTGTGATGGAAGTGATTTCTTTGGACAGTGTTAACCTGTGTTTATACATTGTATTCCCATATTGTACTCTCACAAAGTGAACTCTTTTCTCTGAAAATGCATGCCCAGTCTATGTGATCATAGTAATGTACTTTGGATTTATAATGCTTTTTCTCTGGAGACCTGATTAACTTATCTGCGATGCCAATATAAGAAATGTGGGTAGCAGGTGGTGTCAACTCCTCATTCTTGTATCTCCTATTTTGATAAGTGACAGCAAGCCTTAACTAGAAACCCAGGAAGCATCCTTGATTCCTATCTCGCCCTCAGGTCCTGAGTCTTATTAGCTACCTTGCATGTCTTACTTTTCTGTGCCTGAAAAATCTTTTGAATCAGTTCTTTCTCTTCATCTCTTTAGTCACTATTCTGTTTCCAATCCTCAGAGCCGCTGCTGAATTACCTGTGTCCCCCATCCTCTAAACTTAGGGACCAAAACTTTGTCATATTTTTTTTTAGCTGCCTGACCCACTGTCAGTATTTAATAAATGTTTGACCAGAGCAGAATTCTAGCCTGGATGATTGCAGAACCTTCCTGTTGGTCTCACTGACTCTTGATTTTCCCTTCTTTGTCTGTATTCTAAAACACAGATGTATTCATGAGTGTCACTTCAAATGGTCACTGTAACTCTGATGCCTGTATAATTAGATACAAATTCTCAGTGTGACATTTGAGGGTCTAACCTACTTTTCCAGCCTCATCTTTAATGACCCTGCTTCCCCTCCAAATCTCCATTATAACACATATATCAGACTATCAGTTGGCAGTTTTGTCTACCCCAATAGACTATGAACTTCTTGAGGTCATAAGTTGCCTTATTTTACTCTTATGCATCCATTGATTATCAAGCTGCAGTAAACACTGTTTAACAGTTTAATGCTTAGAATTGATCTGAAATTTGTTCAAAGTGCTCTAATTCTTAAATAGAAGAATTAGCATAGAAAACTGAGTACATGTTTTATGATGTGAAAATTGTGCATACCAACTGGAAAATGCAGAATATCCTCCTGAGTTGATATTCTGTCTGATGTAACCATGGTTAGCATTTTAACATAAGTTTTCAGTATTTTTAAGCAAAGTTTTTTTAATGTTGTTTAGATAATGCTTAAAGTTTTTAAAGAACACTTCAAATTTGTGCTTTATAACCTTGAACCCATAGCTGATTAAACTGCTACATAGATCTTGAAATCTGCCTTCCATTATTGGTATGGCTGTTACCCAGTTTTCCACAGGAAGTCATTGACAGGGACTAAAGAGTCTTATTTCCAGCACTAATGCTTAAGACCAGTCTTGTAATTGACGGGACAGTGGAAAGGGGACTAGACCCTATCTTGGAAAGATTGTATTTGAATTTCAATTCTGACATGTAGTAGCTTTATAATATAGCTTATTGCTTATGCTGGTACCTTTATGAAAATATAAAATAACACCTACCTTTTGGAGTTTTGTGATTATCTCATTGACTTATATTTATGATTAAGTTTTATGAAATCCTGAGTATTTATAAAAGTTCCTTTTATAAAGTTGGAAATCAGTAAATATTAACTGCTTTCAATATAAAGATATGCCTATTTGAGCTAGAAAACTATCTGCTCACTGATTCTGTATTCACTTATGAAGCAAACTAAATTGTGGTGTAACCTAGGGGAAGTTTAGGAATGTGTTGATGATTGCTAAGGCTGCCCATGCATCTCTGGAATTTTGGGGCTGTCGTCTGTTGGTGCTTTGTTCTAGTATTGCAACTATGTGCTCTGAAAGCTTTTTATATTTTTGTCTATACCCTTTCTCACCCCTACCTTGTGAAAGAATAGTGCTGCCCTTTCATACCCAGCTCCCATGTCCCCCCACATACGCCTACATTCAGAATCAGCAAGAAGCTCAGATAATCTTGCATACACAGAAGGCCTTGCGAGGTACAGGACCAAGGATGTCATGGAGAAAAACAATGATAGAAGCTTAGTTTTGTAGGTTTGGTGTAAAGTTCTGAAGGAGCCTGCTTCAGAACATCCTTTTATATTCATCTAAAAATACATGGTACCCAGCTCATAGGATATTAGTGGGAGTTATACTAAAAGTTTTTAGTATTTTTTTTAGTATAGTTTTTAGTAAAAGTTTTTAGTATTTATGATGCTTGTGGTAGCTAACATTTGTTGAGCAGTAACTTTTGTTAAGTATTACTTCAAATGCTTTTACTGGTTTTATTTATTTCATTCAAATCCTCACAACATCCTTGA